TCCCCCTGACCCTCCAAGTACTCATTATCACGGTCACTTCATCCCCTTTATAGTGCCATTATCATCCTCCCTGGCTAATAGGCTGTGGCTGTGCTGGGTGCCTTGCTGGGACCTGCCATGACCCTCTTCCAGAAGGTGACGGCTGCTGGGGAGCTGGAGAAGCAGCTGAAGCAGGTGGAGACCGCAAGACCTACCAAGTAGTTCCTTCCCCCAAAATTGAACATCCCCCACCCGCTAACATTAAATATTACACCCAGCGTGGAAGGCCGATGACGAGGAATATGTCGTCTTGGAGGGATTGGGGTGCTTAATACTGGGGGAAGGGATGGGAAATCACAAGAATGGCAGGTGGAGACCGAGGGCGAGATCCTTTGGGACTCCCTGGGTGAAAGCCACCAGGCCGCCAAGAAGGGCAGCACGTTATGCTGGAAGGCAATGCTGAAGGCTTCCAGGCGGGAGTTTCGAAACGTTGGGGGCATATTCTTGGCTCTCTCCTTCCTTGTGTCGAAATCCCACCTTCAGGGTTTACTTTGCTTTGCTGCGCAACATGGCCAGGTCCGGGCTGCAACTCGAGGAAGCTTTTGCCAGCTCAGCAGATTCCAATGGCCCAGAAACCGGAGATTTCAACATCTTCCAGGACATTGGCTGGCACCGCCGGGCCATTGCCCGGAGCCAATCCGTGTCCGGCTTCCTGATTCTGCCCAGCTTCTCTGGCCTTGTGGCAGCCTTCCTCGTGGCATCCCTATTCCATGCCGCTGGCTGCTGGGTTGCGTTTGGCAATATGCCTTGTGTTCATTTGCACAAAAGGAAAGCAATGACGATTTCAACCATCGCCTAATTGATCCAGGCTACGCGTGCTCCAAGGGCCAGCTGGCCGATCTGAAGTTGGCGACGGACGTTCACCGCCTGCATTTCCAGCCCCATCAACAGAAATATGTGGTGCACATGGACACTTCCTTCAAGCAGGTGTGTTGGCAGGGAAGGGAGAAATTGTGGAGAGTTTTGACAGAAAAGAGAATCGGGGGAGATAGTTGCTGAACTGCGGGATGTCATGCAAGGAAACCTGCGAGGGCCTTGAATGGGCAGCATTTTCTCTCCCTCAGCCAATTCAATTCATGTGAGCTTGCTCCAATTCTCGACTCAATTCATGAACGTATTCAATAAATCGCACGTGGACTTGAATTGCGACCTCAGAGCTCACAGCTCTCAATTTGATTTTATCGACCCTGAGCCCAGTGACCAGTGTTACTCCTGACTGCAGGTGGTCTTGCAGGGCATGGTCTCGGCGTCACAAACCCGGTGGATGTCGCTGCAGCAGCCCAACACAGCCAGTCGGGTAGGAACGGCTCGGGTGCAACTCATCGACGAAGAGAGCTTCGGCCAAGAGGAGATACATCTGTCGCAAGCTCCTAGGCCATAGTACTTGATCTAGACTCTAGACTGGAACATAGGAAGATGTGGTAGACTGGTTTTTCCCATGCTTTGCAAAGGCTGTGATCCCTCGGATCTCGACCGTCCGAGTGCAAGGCCTCCGTCCCTCCCTGCCTGCTGCGGACGTCGGCGTCCGCTTCTCCCCGTTGCGAA